TGGGACACACTTTCACCATTTTGTGATGAACACGTCTCTTCATATATGCAGATAGAAGAGTACAACAATATCACGCGCCGTCCTTAGATCAAAACCATAAGGAACGTGGCAAGCCCTGATTTCATCAAACTGGCATCCAAGGCAACCCTGATTTCAGCCGGCCTTTGCCACTTCTACCGAGCCTTGCCATGCAGCGTAGTGCAAGGGCGCCTCGAAAATTATCATTGACGCGTAGGTAAATGTGCCTGTGCTACTGTTGATGTCGTAGAGCCACAATGTGCCTGTATGTATATGTATAAGTACACAAAGATGGTTGTTGAAACAGTAATTAAAAAGGTATGTACATATCTGCCTACTTGTGCCTACGTACATACATACATACGTACATACCAACCATACATTGCATTGCATGGCATTGAATTGAGCTGCCTCGCGAGGCACTGCAATACACTGACTACAGTGCAATGCATTACATACATACATACATACATTCATACATACATACATAAATACATACAGACACAGACAGACATAAATACATACATACATACACATCCACACGTGCCTGCCTACCTATGTACATACACATATGCGTGCGTTTGAGTGCACACAGTACATGCTTTTGCAAACATATGTAAACACACATGTGCAACTCTAGTTGTTCTGCAGCCTTGGTAGCTACACTGTGTGCCCTGTTGTCTACCGTTCGTGCGTCTACACCGATGTATGCAAGCACACACATCCATATGTGCATATGACAGTATATATTCTGGCTAGTTGGTGGCTGTCTGTCTGCCTATTTGTCTGTCTGTATACATACACACGCACACGAAAACATGCAGTTCACTCCATTCCATTGCCTACATGGTGCCTTGCACTTCGAGCTTCGATTTTTCATTATACGAACTTTGCATAACGCATTATCTTTTTCACCTTCGTCCGAAGTTCTAGCTGCTCAGGGTGTCATGCCTGCGAAACTGCCTTCGTCCTCGGGGCTTGCAGCTGCAGCGCCCGCTGCAGAGCCATGCTGTCCAAAACTTTGTCGACTTGATTCTGTGCCATGTTCTGGTGGCAAAATGCGTGATCAAATCGAATCGACGGAATCTTGTTGCATGGAGCGAGTGGCCATCAGATTTTTACCCGACAACCACACCTCAACGACTGCAAACAGCGCAAATAATCAGAGTGCGGTCAATGAAGGTTCTGCGCCTGTCCACACTGTGCTCCGTTCTACAACGCCCACTGGGTGTGCATAGATGAACAACTTAAGAAACGATGCTGCACAGCACTGCGGGAGGCGAGCACGCTGCAAATGAATGAAGTACTCAGTACTCTTGCACGAGGCCTAGGAAAAAACCAACGGCAGGCGGCAAAGAGCCATCACACAAGCTGCTCAACCTGCACGCACCCAGAACGGCCTTTTGACTTGAAGGCGCACCCTTAAGGCATCCAACACTTCTCCTTGGAACTCCCTGGGCGGCGCCCTGATGCTGAGATCAGCACAGACCGATTCCGCGCTGGCTGCACTACCTCACTCCAAGACCAGCCACATACAACGACGTCACGAAAAGGACATTTAGTAACTTTCTTGACACCGTCCGCTCTGGCAGCATCCCCGAATGTCCTGCAAAATAAGCATCAGGTCAAGATTCTGAGGGTCTGGCTGGATGCCCGCGAGCCAACAGCATGGTAGCAATGCGTGACTGCCCGTGCCTGGCAAGTGCTTGATTAGAAACTCAACCACGAGGCCCTCTGTGACTCAGCAACATTCGCCCAGCATGCCAAGATTACTTTCAGCCCTGTTGAGGCGGACGACACGAAAGCGTGTACAGTTTTTTCCTAAGTGTTCTTCAGCGCACAATCGGCTCGAGGCACCAAGCGGCGGTGTGAAGAAGCGTGTCTCCGGACGGGGTCGCCTCCTGCAGTACGAAAAGGGACTGGATCTCCTGACTTGCCGAATCTTCGGACTTTCTACTGGGCTGTAGAAACTGACGTGGCTCAAAACTTGAAGCTTACGATCCTCCTCAAGCTCTGAACCCCACACCCTGGTTCAAGACAAGCGGCTTGCAGGAGTTGGTCCCCATGCTTGTCGCCAAGGAGTCTCTCCAACACCCCGCAGTTGCCCTGCGAATACGCCGAGTGCACTGTGGATGACAAAAGCAAAACACACACACATACATAGGTATACAATCTCTTCCCCGACGCTACAACCCCCTCCTCCCCCTCCACACCCCACAATCTTAAAACAATATTCCCCCTGAAATAGGTTTTAGTATTCGGGGGCCAGTTCTAGCATCTTCACTTTGCTCAGCGCTTTATTCGAAACGGCCGCAAACCCTACATTCCTACGTTCCTGCAGGCCTTGCCGGCTGCGCTTCTTGCAGTTAACTCAACTCATGCGTTCTAGTAACTAGTACTTGCAATCATAACTTTTGGATGCTGGGGCAATCCCTGAACCTAAGCTCTCAGAGGGAAAGGAAATAAACTTACACAGTCAACTCGCTCCTTCGTATAATGGGATAACCCCTGAACTTAAACTTTGCTAGAGAGACAGCGAGGGAGGGAAAGAGCGAGAGCTTCGATACAGTTATAGACATCCCAATCGTCTAACCTGGAAGGATCCCTCAGGCCTCCCTGATACACCCTTGTTGTACTGTCCTCTTGGCTCTTTGAAAGTCCTCTTGGGCGCATTCCGGCAAGAATGCTCTCCCCGGATAGGCTTTTATGTTAGGGTGGTCCTTATTCCTCGAAGGCGGGCGATACATACATATATATATATATA